ATATTTATATTTATATTTTGGAGCCGGAATTCCAGCACAGGGTGGGGATACTACAAGCCCTTTTTAGTTCAATGAAGTACACACTAAAAATGAGCCATACATCAAGCCAATTTACCACCCAAACACAACACAGCAGCTCTAATTGTTTTTCTGACAAACCATGAATTATTAAACTAACATTGCATAATCTGTAAGCGGTATGAATGTTGGCTCATACGCTGCCACACACCAGCTGTGCTGCTGGCGTTTCACAGGTAAAAATGTCTAATAAAACATTGGCTCTTGGCGTATAAACAATAGGAGGGCTGAATGTACTGACCCAGCTTAGCGTAGTAGAAGGGGAAGTCTCCTAGGTTGGTGGAGTACTGGGGCAGAGCGAAGAGACCACCAGGAAGGCTGTTCCACATGAGGCTGCTTCTCGACGAGTGCAGCAGCACCCGGTCCTGGATTATCTGGAGTTTTAGGAGGGAATAATGTTTGAAATTATGTGGTAAATGTATTAACTTAATCCCCAACAGAACAACTAAAGAAAAGTATTTGATCACTTGAGCAATAACAAAGACAGTTCAACATGATGTTTGCAAATCTGAGAGACAGTAATTTTAACACAGGGGTCTTACAGTTTAAGGAAAGTTAAATTTAAGACTTTTTAAGACTTTTTAATGACAAGTGAAATTTAATTTATGACCAATTTCATAATAAACACAAATGACAAAAAAATAAAACTGTAGCAGAAACTCATGAATCAAAGTATTTTTGGTTGAAGTATTCAAATATTGCTAATAAACCAATTGTTTTTATCCATATCTAACTGCTTTTTCCTCAAATATAGCAAAAAATTTCTTAGTAGTCAGTTTAACGACCCAAAATTTGGAGTTTTAGGACCCACAGTGGGGTCTCAACCCCCATTTGCTGTAGATGGAACCTTGAAGTGCCCGTGACAACAAAATTTGTAAGAAAAGTGAACGCATTTTTGGAAAGACAACAGTATTAACATATTACAAAATGAATTTCACGTTGCTCAGATGGACAGCTGTTGAGATATTTGCATGTGAAATAACAGGAAGTGATGTCAAAGGGGAATGTCTGCATGTAAATATTTTAAAAAATAAATGTTACCAATTATTTTAATATTTGAGAAAAAATAATCATACTATTTACAATGTGTTAACATTTTTAAGACTTCTGAAAGATTGATTTAAGACATTTTAAGGCTAATTAAGGCCTTACTTTTGGATTGAAGAATTCAATGACTTTAAAGACTTTTTAAGGATCTGCAGGAACCCTGATTATGTGATTGTTCAGATTCAGGTGGAGTATA